GGGAGTAATGTCATATGCTTTCTGGAGGTCAACAAACGATAGAACATGAGAATCTCTTCCACAGGCTTCCTTTTTTTCTAAAATTTGTTGGATGCAGAAAATGTCATCAACACGTGAACGGCCAGCCGTAAAATCGCTTTGTTCTTCCAGATTTTCTATCCCTGACTCAATTCTTCCTTTAATTATTCGCCCGTACAGTCTACTAATTGAAATTGTAACACTAACATCTCTATAGTTTTCACATTTTTCTTTATTGCCTTTTTTATAAATCGGTATACTTTCTGCTTTTTTCTGTTCTTGAGAAATTACTTCTTGATCAATGAGATATTCATTAAAAAGGTTTACAATAATTTATTTCATTTGATCCGGAGAGTGTTTTAACAGTTCAACCGCTATCTCTCCTGGGCCTGAGATCTATTATTTTTCATTGGTGACAATAAATGTATGTACAATAACAACAATTCTGGTAGCAGAGCATGGTTGCGAAGAAAATACGGAAGTGAATTAAAATAATGGCTAAAGGAACATACGCGAACATTAAAATGTTAACGAATTTCAATTATTACTTTTGGAGTTTCAGAATAAGTGAATGTTTCAGATCAAGTCGTTACATTTATATGAAGATGTTATAAACGGAGAACCGAAATTAGTCGAAAAGTATGAAGTAAATAGTAAGAAATGGCGCGACTGCTCATATGAGAATGATGAAAACAAGACCATGCTTATTTTAACATTCAGAAATACATTTCATGGTTGATATTGTTCCTTTAAGAAAAGAAATTACAACAGCTGAGAAGGGAAGAAGTATGTATTCATAACATTAGTGATGAAATAGAAAATTGTCAAAATGAGACGTGTTTTAAAGTAAATAAATTAATAAACAACGTATGGCATCGTTGATTAGGACATATTAATCATAAATATTTGTTGAAAATGAATAAAGATGATATGGTAAGAGGATTAGATGGTGCGCCTCGAAGTAATGGAATTGCAGAAAGGGCAAACAGGACAATTATTGAAATGACTAGGATTTTGTTAAAAGATGCATAACTTACGAAGAGTGTTTGGGCGAAAGCAACTTCAACGGCAACAGACTTTCATGTTATTCCTACTAAGAAGAGAAAAAAGGTCCTCATGGAAATATGGAAAACCCGACAGTGAAATATTTAAACGTTTTTTGGATGTAATGTGTTTTACAGAAATAAAAGTGTAAATAGAATGAAATTTGATAATAAATCAAGACTTGGGAAATTTATAGAATATTCAAGGAATAGTAACGTGTTTTCTATCAATTTACTCGGAAGATTCTAGAAACTAGAGATATTGTTTTCTTAGAGAATGAAATCGGATACAATTCATCTAAACAGAATGTATCACATGATATTGACTGTATAGGATAACATTGAATACAAGAGTGGACCAAAATCTAAATAAAAATGACGAATATATATTGCAAATTATATTATTGATGGGCCTATAAAAGAAGGGGATGAATGAACAAAAACGAGTTGATGGCTTAAGGGTTATGGATAAAATTGTGAGGTGAAGTAAATGTGAAAAGATCAAAAAGGATCAAGATACCGACACAGAGATACTCAGCGAATATGGTGAGAGAAGAGAACCGAAGGAACCATCAAGAATCAACTGAATCAATGAATGCTGCAGAGAGGGGTGAAGTGATGAAAAATAAATTAGATCATTTGAAGAAATACAAGACGCGGGAGGATGTTATGACGCCGGAAGCGGGCAATATTTTAAGAAGTAAATGACTTCGAAATGAATTAAATAGATAGCCAGATTAATAGTGGATGGATTCAGGCAAGTAGCGGGAAGAGATTTCGATAATAATTACAGCGGTAATGAGAATGGAGACATTCAGAAACGATCCTGTCATAACCAACAATGGGGGTAAGATACATCGACGTCGAGACTGCGTACCTCTATGGTACATTAGACAGAGTAGTGTATATGAAACCGCCTGAAGGATTACATATACTAGGAAGTGGTAGAGTTTAAAACGTAAAAAAGTTAATACGATTTCTAGAAGCTGAAAGATGCTGGTATGATAAATTGTGGCAAATATTACTACGATGTGCCCTTAAGTCTTCAAAAAGCGATCCATGTTTATTTATAAATAAAGTAAATATTTCTTAACGATTGTTTTTTATGGGAATGATTTCATCATAATAGGTAAGAATGAAAACATTGTGGAAGATTGATACAGAAGATAGAAAAATATCTAATAATATAAATTTAAAATGATATATTTTTAGGGATAAAAATAGAAAGGGATACCAATAGTTTTCTTATTAAATCAAACGAAGTATATAGAGAAAATATTAGACAGATTTGGGATGAGAAAATTTTCCGCAGTAAAGACAAATTCAAAGAGATATATTAGAGATATGAGCAGCCCGTTGGTAATGTACAAAGATGAACAATTCCGAAAGCGGTTTTGTTTCAATAAAACTACTATAGTGTTGTGCCGATGATCGACAAAGTCCCAATGACTAAAAGATTATTGCCGATTTCCCCCTTATAAAAATTCTCGTTGCATTACGATTTTATACAACTTCATCCTTTCAGGAATGTTTCCAAAATTTTTAACTTTTATTCATTACTGATTTATAAGACATGTTATAAGTAATTATGAATTTTGCAATATAAATAACAAGTGAAGTAATTTAAATTGTTTTAAGATGGAATTAATGTTAATATTATATGGGGTTGACATTTTCAATTACAAGAAATGTTAATCATCCATTACCAATATTGGCAGACCTATGTTTACACTATTTACATTAGTTATACTAGAGCATAAGTTAAAGTTGTGGAATCAATTAAAACTGATTTATTATATTACAATCAAATAATGCACATAAATATTATGTAGAAAATACACGAGGCATTGCAGAGATTGATTAAAATTTTGATATGAGGTTCATGGATTATATTTTTTACCAAACATTTCTTATTATTAGGGATTGGTAGTAAATACATTTTTAAAATATTAACATGATCAGATGTCAAAGTCATTGAAATTATATGATAATCATAGATTATATTGTAAGAAATCTGCTTGTTATTGTTAGTGATTGGTAGTAAGCACATTAGTAAAATATACCAATATCAAAACATCTTGTTTTGTCTGTATGAAGACGTATTAGAGATGGTAGAAATATAATGAATTAAACAAATTTGAAAAATTTGATAATACACTTTATTATGTATGGAAGCTGGTTGAACTGCCAAGTTGTATCCGTAATTTGGGTGATCAGATAAGTAGAGATATAAATTCTTTCAACTTGTTGCATGGCAGTGTGAATGTAAAATAATCATATTAATGAGATCAAAGTTTCAATTTTTTATTTCACAATGTAACTTTAATACTACAACATAAAAAGAACATATCTGCTAGTATTGGTTCTTTATTAATTAAATGAAGTAAAGCTGTAATATTTATGAATGATGACTAATTATGAATTTCAGATTGTTTGTGCTGATTTGTTCGACATAAGCCAGTATGCCGGGTAACTGGTGAAGTGTCAGAGACCTTCGCACACCACACCAGCAAGTATATAAAGTTATCAGCTGAACTGGTAGTCCCTCAACAATTTAAAATTACAATTCTATAGGAAATGACTGTGAATGACTTTTTAATGAATGTGGGTTCCATCAATTACTCCCACTACTCCTGGGAAACCAGGAGTAGTGGGAGTAATTGATGGAACCCACGTTCATTAAAAAGTCATTCACATTAAAAAGTCTTAAAGGGCCAAATGCTGAGATTTTCACAACAAAAAAGCATATTTTTCAATTAAAGTGCAAATTGTTGGTGGCCATAATGGGGAGATATTGGATATTGTAGTGACTTGGCCAGGTTGTGCTCTATATAGCAGAATATTTGAAAACCGTGCTGTGCGTGTACAACTCAGTGAGGGACAAGTAGCTGGGCATCTGCTTGGGGACAGTGGCTATGCCACAAAGATGTATATTTATACACCTGTCCAAAATCCAAGGAATCACCCTGAACAAAATTATAACAGGGCACTGAAAACAACTAGGAATAGTGTGGAAAGGTTGATTGGGAGATGGAAAACAAGGTTGTCTTCTTTGTATTTTGAAATGCAGAACTAGAGCATTACAAGAATTATAACTACTTGTGCAGTTCTTTACAATATTTGTATTGAAATTGGTTATTTGTAAAATCTGGGTGAATTAGATGTTGAAAGGAACATTATTGAGGTGGAAACATCTACTGTACCTGAAAATGCAAATTCAAATGTGATAAAGCAAGCTTTAATACATTATTTTAATAATTAATTTATTTTGTATCATTTTATGTTACATACAAATTTTAACACTTTTTTAATTTTTCCAGCTCCAGCATTCTAGCTTTTTCTCTGAATTGCTCCTCAGTTTTTAATTGTTCTTGTAGGAGCTCAATTTTTAATTCTGCAATTTATATTTGTTTTGAACACATTTTACTTCCCACCCCACAACCTCACAACGACCTTTTGCTTCGATGTTCCTCAACTCGCCTATCTCTTTCCAACTGATTTAGATATGCAGTTTTATCGATTCTTAAGTTCGCTTCAATAAAGAAAGAGTGGGTTTTCGAGTGTCTGGGAGTAGTGGGTGGTTTTCTGTTTTCCCTAAACTGAGGCCGGCTTGGAAGAGAGTGTATTGCTCCTAAGAATGTGCCGCCTGGCTGCCTCTGGGGAATTAGGAGCACTGAAGGAACCTCAGCATTTAATGAAGGTTCCTTGTTCTCTTGGAGAACCTCTTCCACCAACACAAAACTTGATCCTTCCCCACTTCTGACTATTTCGACATAGTCACTGTCGATCGAGCACTACAGACGTATGTCCACTCCGCAGAAATCCAGTTCTGGGTCTTCTTCAAGCATTCCTTGCTGCATTGGGCCACCCCCAATTTACATAACACGGGGAGTTTCGGCTGCCAAGTCATTCATCCTGCAAAACTTTGTTTTCCCACACCCTGCGCAGTTGTCCTGTGGTTCTCTGAAAAATAAAGTATTCCATATTATACATTTTTAATTTCAAATGAAATATTTCATGGCTGGTACTTACAGAGCCTTTTTCTGATCTAGCATTAAATTTCTGAGTTATTTTCTCCCATGCATTTTTTCTGCTATTGGACACCACATCAGACGTATTTTCTACAATATTTTTATTTAACAACACCAATTCTCGAAGAATCTTCTTCTCTTCGACACAGTAATTTTTGACTTTACGCATGTTTGTACTAGTGGAAAAAGAAATATTACACTGATTTACAAATCACTGTTATAAATTGATAACATGAAGTTAAAAAAATTACACGGTACTTCACAAAAATTACATTCATGAATGGTTTGTGCAATACATTTACTAGAAACAATGGGGCAAAACAAGGAAGAAAAATAAAAAGCACTACAGGAAATACCTGTCAAAATTACAGAAAGCGTTAGGCTTCATGTATAATAACATTCACTACAAGAAAGTACTGTAGAGTCGATAATTTACATGTGTTCATCATACAATTTACTTACCTCGAAGAAAGTAAACAATTATGTTTACTTCGAATAAGCACCACACATTTACGAACATGCTGCGGACACAATCACTCTCTAACGCGTAAACACAACAAATAGAGAGACGAGGTCGCAGCGCGCGATGTCAATTCAACGTTGGAGTGTCCGCCCCTTGTTAAATTGGACGATCTTTGTTCAAGATTAAGTGCAGAGAGTATTAAGTGCGTGTGTAAACTCGGTTGCCAAGAACTTCGAAACAGCTTCCGCCAATGCCATGTTGCTACATTTCCCTTCCGCTTAAGGGAACACTCATTCCGCGGTCGTATTTTTCTTTGAAATACGAGCGCCTATAAGTGAACACTTATTTTGAGAAAGCACTTATTGCTAAAAGGTTTCGCTTATCCTATAAGTTACGACTATGACTTCGGCCCTTAATAACAGGAACGCAGCCTGATTTGGCATATGTGTAAAGCAGAATGTCTCAGTATTCAAATGACGCAAGAGAAGAGCATTAAGATGCTTTAAAAGAATGAGACATTCCAAAAGAAAAAAAAAAGACTTTAAATTAAGAATAAACATAGAAAAAGGTTGCTTGGAAGTGGATTCAGATGCAAGTTGGTCCACTAGGAGTAATTCTAATTCATCTTTTGCAGGATATACTATGAAATTGGGAAAATCATTAATAAGCTGGAAGTCGAAAAAACAAAAGATTGAATTACTATCAACGATGGAAGCAGAACTGCTATGAGTTAGCGAAGTAATTTTTAAAAGTCGATTGTTGGGAGAGATGGTATTATATCTGAGTATTTTTAATATGATGGTATTATTAATATCTGAGTTGGGTTTGCTGAAAACTCCAATACAATTGCCAACATATAGTAAAGCGTTGATAGACTGGTCGAAGAATTTAGAGATAACGTCAAGGAATCCACACATTGCAAGTATGTCGAATTGTGTCACGTCAAATATGCAGAATTATAAACGGATATTTTAACTAAAGATGTTGATTGTGATGTTTTATTTAATAATATAAAAGAGTTAGGTTATGAATAAAAAATAGTGAGTAATTATTAGTTTCACAAAAGACGAGGATTTGTCGTGTTTACTTACGATGTGGAATCGTGCGACTAATAATTACGACTGGTTACCTAGAGATGGTAGTAATGTATTTATTATTTACGATATAAGTGTCGTAAAGCATCTAGCATCTGATTACAATACGAGGGTGGAAAATTGCCAAACGAGACCGTTAGGACGAGTTTGGTAACCAATTGAGTTTTGTAATTAGATGTTATGACACGAATATCGTACACACTTGGTGTACACTCTTCACCTGAGTGAATATAGTTCTGATTCGTAAATATAAATAGCAGCAGAAACATTGTACTAGCTGATAATTCCCGTTCAAAAGTTCCCAATGCCCTCTTATGTTGCGTCTGTACTCTCTCTCTCTGCCTCCCTTTCGCCCCCTCTCCCTCCCCATCACCCTCTCTCGCTCACACTCTCTCCCCCTCTCCCTCCCCCCTCTCTCTCTCTCTTTGTTTTATATTACAATTTCAAAATTAACAAATGCAGGTTGTGATGATATTAATTGATTTGTATGCACATCTAACATTAAAAGGCTCTTTTTTGCATGTTTATGTAAATAAGGTGTTAGTTAAGCTTAATAATAATTTGTGGGTCATTCGAAAATCGATATTTGCACACTTATGTAAAAATGTGTAAAAGTACGAAATTGAACATAACATTTATTCATTCTCTAGCATTACTCACAGTTTTGTTTTTTCTGTATTTACTTGAAAGTCTTCCAGTTTAATAAGTTTCAGGGCAATACTGCTCCTAGGGTGTTGCAAATTTAATTTTAATAATATTGTAATTCAAATGAACTTGCAGCGCGATTCACTTGGTAATTCAATTGTTCAATTGTTAGAGATGCCGACATCAGTGTTGTCAACGTGAAAGAAAATTATGGCGTATTGAGCGTAAAACACCTTTTAGTGCTGGAGTTTAATCAAGTCACCTACATAGATCGATTTATGTGTCTAAATTATTGTTTATTTTATATTTATATATTTATTTATTTAATTTAGTCGTTAGTTTCAAAATGCCTAGATTTTGGTTAAATAATCTTTATAATTTTTGTTATACATGCAATGAAATGACGCTCAAGACCCAAAGGCAAAAGTTTACTGAGTTTACTCCATTAACGAAAAGTGTTATTAACTTTATTTTGAGTATGATGTAGGGGACCAAACAAGAATCTGATCCCCACGTATAATGTTTTAAGCTTATCACTGCGTGGAAAAGTGACACAAGTCATTTGCTATCCTTATGATTTAGAGGGAACCCAAAAATGTTCTCAAAACAGATAGTTTTGACACAAATCACTTATTCCTGAACAAAAAATTGTGAAATCCAATCTATTATGTAATACTAAGGATGTGTATTACCTCCGTGACGTATAAAATTAGAATTAATGAAGAATGTCATCAAAGCCATGGACTTTCTTTTTTCTTTCAACTTTCCCCCCGCCAGTAACCCTGGCGAGGCGGGAGTTTATTTCCTTCTTGGAGTACAACATACGCCGCAGCTCTATGGCTTATGCGGCAAAAAAGGGGGCAGAACTTACTTCTTATTTCTAACTTAACCTATGGATGAAGCCGGCACTTTGGCCGGCAACCTAAGATTAGCACATGACTTTGTATTTTACTACATGCTTATCTGTTTTAGTTTTCTTGGATTTTTTCCATTCACACGCACATTCACACGCTCATTCACACGATGTTCTATTTACACTTGACACATGCACTTTCACACGACACTACATACATCCTAGACACTATTTAAACTATGTGCGCCACGGCGCCGACTTTGCTCCAAGCGTCCGTGGCGGCTAGGCACAATGTGCCCCGGCAATTGAAACGGGCGGATCCTCACTCGTCCCGCTGGGAGCCTCACGCCGCTGCTCGTAGAGTTCTGCGAGAAGCTGCGGCGGTAGCGCACGAAACGTGGAGGCCATTTGCTTGGGCCCTCTCGGCGCAAAATACGTCCGGTGGACCTCACAGTTCGCTGCCCGGCCGGTTTCGCGCAAGAGCCGCGGAGCTTTTGGCCCCAGCGCACGCGTGAGCGCCGTGTGTGCCCTCCGGCGGATCTCCTCCGGCAGCTGACGACTCAAGCCCAAGGCTCCGTAGGTTGCACTGTTCCTATGGTGGCGGTTAGGAGGAGGAGGGAGACGCGGCCGCGTGGCGGTCCTCATCGCTCGGTTTTTGGCCGCCCGGCCGACCGGCGCTGCCGCAAAGGTTTCGCAAGCATAGGTCCATAAACTTCCTATGCAGGCGGTGAAAAGGAGACGCTTCTGCGAGAGAGATAGGTCCGGGGAGATAAGGAGGGGACGTAGGAGGGAGATCCTCGCCAGAATTTTGTGGCGAAGGTCCTTGGCGTGCTCGTGTCAATAGAGGCCACGATCTAGAGTCACGCCAAGGTACCTCGCGCATGGGGACCAAGGAAAATGCGCGCCTGCAAGCAACACCGTTTCCTCGGGGTCTGCCCTCTGACGGGTGAAGTTAACGGCCACGCATTTTTCAAGGTTTAGGGTCAGGCGTTTCTGGGGTAGCCACGGGGGAAAAGTGCAGCGAGAGCATTCATCTCAGGTATCTCACTGCTTGCCTCGGCTGTTCGCCGACTTCGAGTAATACGCAAAGTCGTCCGGGAACATCAGGAGCTCCGCAACGCTGAATTCCCGTTCTCTCTTTCTGCCTTAGCAGAGGCGCTCATTGACGTAACAAAGCGAAGAGGGTGGGGGAGAGCCAGCTCCCCTTTGGAACTCCCGCTTCGTGCGCGTCTTAGGGTGACGACTTGTTACGCCGGTTAACTCGCAATATGGACGTTATCTTCTGTGAGAAAACTACCGATCAGGCCTGCCGTGTAGTCAGTCGCTTATCCTACATCATGAGACATAAGAGTGGCCCCCTCATGGTCACACCGTGTCGAAGGCCGACTGCATGTCCAGGAAGACGTAGGCAGATTCTGCGCCTCTCGACAAGATAGGCCGATCTCGGTTGTGCAGAGGCGGTCCAGACTGCTGCGCGGAGCTATGACCCGTTGCTGAAAACGAATTGCTTCGTTCGGAGGGGACCTAGACGCTCGCGTATTTCCTGCTGCAAGCTGTCACCAGTTATGAGCGTTCTAGAGTCTTTCGTAGGAGCGAGAGAAGACTAAAATGGGTCTATAACTACGTGGCAGGAAGACGGCTCTTAGCCGCACGTGGGGTATTAAGCAGATGTTCACTTGCTTGTGCCACGGCGCCGGGACTATATATTGTGTGGAGGCGGCAGTGAAATAAGTGCCCAGGGGAATTCAATCCCCGTCTCCTGGTTCAACAACGGATTCGTGGGCGGACGGTGATGCCGTCAGTGTGCCGCAAGACTTGGTTTTGAGGTTAGAGTTGCGGAGACGCTCCGGCGGAGTTCACCGTCTCGTCACGCGAGG